CCCCCCCCAACTTAGGAGACAGCAATCACCCCTGGTCCCAGGCCAGATAGAAACTTCATGGTAACAAACAGAAACACAGTCTATGCTTCCTGTGAGGTTGACTTGGCTACCAGAAAGTGGAAGGTTCTCTCAAGATGCCCACTATTAGAAATTGATATTTCTTCCTTAGCCTGCTTTCCCCATCTGTTGTATTCAAAACTTTGTTTTCAAGCAGATGAGAAACAAACACTAAGGGGCCTCTATGGCTGTCATTTATTACTTTTTCAAGGCCCTAATTCAGGAAGGTATGTAAAGGCGCATCTCAAACTAGGTGTCACTAATTTCAATTCATCATTAGACCAGGCTTTGAGTTATACAAATGCTTAGTTTCTTTATCCTAGGCCCAAACACTGCAAATCACTTAAGCCTGTGAGCAATTCCATTGATTCCAGTGGGATTTCTGTATTTAAATATTTTTCTGGATCAGGGCTCTAGCAAGGTCACAAATGAAGTTTGGGTTTTTTTAAATTCAGTCCACAATTGAAAATGCCTATGTCACAAACTGATCCATTACTGCTCTCTCAGAATAGAAACTATTCTGTTGTGAGGAGACCCAACTATTCAATCCACATGTTGCTAAACAATCTGGGTCTAGGCATGACCTGTTACAGTTTCTAGTTCTGGGCCAGTACCTAGTTCAGAGCTGGTTGTGACTGCCAGGTCAAGGAGCCTAGGAGCAGTCTGCAGGTTGGTAAGGACTACAGCCCAGCTGCAGGCAGTGAAACCTGATTGCAGGCTGCCTAGGAGGACTGGGCCAACTAATCCAGCTCCACAGGAAGTTAAGAGGTCTCCTAGGGGAAGGAGTGAAGAAGAGAGAGACTTTCCAGGAGAGGAAGGAACCAGAGGGGTGTGAGAGTCGGCTCCTATGGACAGGAGCCTGAGACAGGTAGAGAGCTGAGAGGGAGAGAGCAGGCAGGTCAACTCATGGTGGAGCCCAGGGATCATGCCTGGAGTGCTGCTATCCCAAGAGTCAGCCTGTGAGTGTGAAGACAACCACAAAGCATGGAAAGACCATCAGCATATCAGAAACTGTGCATATAACTTATGTTGATTGATCCCTGCCAGGAGAGATGATAAACAAAGGCTGTGAGCCTGTAAGAACATGGAAAGGCTATGAGAGGTAATTAACCTGGAACCTGCTACAAGCAGTCACAAAGCAGGACTGCCACTGTCTTGTTCTTTCTACTTACCTTCCTTGGTCTTATGACTTGTTGTCCTGAACTACCCAAAGAGAAACAACTGCCCTTTCACCCTGCCTCAGGTCTTGAACTTTCATCTTTGGGAAACTTCCCAGCCAGCGATGCTCTTCTTAGGTCTTTTAGACCATGCCCAGTTTGAGCAAGAAATCCTTTTTACATTTCCTTAAGAGGGTCTGTTGTCATGGAAAAAAACTGCTAAATGATCAAAAACCAAGTTTGGAGCAATGGATACAGGTCTGATTCTAATTTAAAGGATTATTTGCACAGGCAGCTCCTCTGTTTCTGTTGGGTTTTCATTTGCACTTACACCTGGGATTGCCTCTCCAAAACTCCCAGTCTTAAGTATTGTGCTAACAGACACTTGGGAAAGAACTTTGTCAGCAATTCTGTCTAGGTTCATCATACTTTTGCTCAGTGTTGGTGAACTGTCACTAACAGCCTGTAAAAAGGAGCAACTTGAGACTTCCTCAGTTATTGCACTAGCCTCTTTTTGAGGAAAAAGTGTTACAAACTCTTAGGTCATCATAAAAGTCTTGCTCACATCCAGCTTTTTGTAAAATATTCCTCAAAACAGAATGAACAACTCAGTTAACTGTTTCTTCATGTTATGGGTGTAGATGTTGTTCTTCATCTGAAGCTGCCACAATACTGTTTTTTATGTTTGGATAGACCTTGTTCCATGCCCTCTTTAAGGTTCTCAGCCATTTCATTCACTTCAGATCTTGAGAAATATCTTCTGTACTTTGGGCTTCTGCTATTAATTGAGCTTAAGGGTGCTTGTACACACCATGGAGTTTAATCCTCATTAGCTTTCATAGACATTAGGGCTAGAAGGGACCTCGGAAGATCATCGAGTTCAGCCCCCTGCCCCAGGGGCAGGAAGTCAGCTGGGGTCATAGGATGCCAGCAAGATAAGCATCCAAATTTCTCTTGAAGGTGATCAATGTAGGCACTTGAACCACCTCCGATGGCAGGCTATTCCAGACCTTGGGGGCTCAGACAGTAAAGAAATTCTCTCTTATGTCCAGCCTGAAACAGTCTTGCAGTAGTTTATAACCGTTCGACCTCATCATCCCTTGGGGTGCTCTGGTAAACAAATGTTCCCCCAGATACTGGTGGTCACCCCTGATAAGCTTATAGATGGCCATCAGATCACCCCCAAGCCTGTGCTTTTCCAGGCTAAAGAGCCCCATAGCTCTCAGCCTGTCGTCGTAAGGTCTGTTGTCCTGACCTCTGATCATGCGCGTGGCTCTTCTCTGGACTCTCTCAAGCTTCTCCACATCCTTTTTGAATTGTGGGGCCCAAAACCGGACACAGTACTCCAGCTGCGGCCTCACCAAGGCCGAGTACAAGGGGAGAATGACATCCTGGGATTTGCTTGAGAAGCATCTATGGATGCAAGCCAGCGTTTTGCTCGCTTTACTAGCCACAGCATCGTATTGAAGGCTCATGTTCATCTTGTGGTCAATGATGACCCCCGTGTCTCTTTCTTCCATAGTGCTAGCCAGTGCAGCACTGCCAAGTCTATAAGGATGCTATAGGTTTTTCCTCCCAAGGTGGAGAACCTTGCATTTTTCAGTGTTAAACGCCATCAGGTTCTTGTCTGCCCATTTGCTGAGCCTGTCCAGGTCAGCGTGGATCGCCCTCCTGTCTTCAGGTGTGAATGCTTTGCCCCAAAGTTAGGTGTCATCACCAAACTTGGCCAATCCACTTCTGACTCCAATGCCCACATCATTAATGTAGATGTTGAACAATATGGGTCCAAGGACAGAGCCTTGGGGGACCCCACTGGTCACAGGGTACCATGACGATTGACTTCCATCAATTACCATCCTCTGGGTCTGACCACAGAGCCAATTTCCCAGCCAGCAGATTGTGGTGGACCCAAGGCCACGGTTGGCCAGTTTCACCAAGAGGTGACCATGGGATACCAGATCAAAGGTTTTTTTGAAGTCAAGATATATGACATCAACCTCTATTTAACTTAAATAGGTTTAGCAAATTTATACTTGTTTATTTTGGAGCATCGCATCAGTGTTTGCACTCACTAGGTTTTTGAACAAATTAAGCCTAGTCCCCTGGCAGCACCGCAGGAGATCAGGACAGTCCAGTGCTGCCCCGCTGGCCCAGGGCACTCCACCCCATGCCCTGCCACATAGCTGTGGGAGCACAGAGCTGGAAAACAGCACAAGAAAAAAAAAAAAGCATAAGCAATTCGAAGGGTGAACTGCAAAAAAGTTGCAGCGCCATCTGGTGGACAAAGAGGTCATTAGACATCTTTGCGTGCTTTTGTGTTTGCATGCAATGAATCCATGGACACAACGCTTTTATTCATGGCGAGCCAAACTAAACTACGTCCAAGGAGTTTTACTTGAATACGCCAGAAAGACTTCTAAAGCATCCGGAAAACCCACTCATGCAAACAGTCACGCCGTTGCAGCACAAGAAAAGGCAAAAAACATGGCAGGTACAAAGGCCCTAAGACTTTTGACAAGAATCTACTTAATGTTTCTTCCGCAAATGTCATGGGTACCATGGGAATATGTGGGTTTAAAGTTTATTGCGGGATCTTCATCATTGTGCCAAGATCAGTAAGAATATATATTTTAATAATATTGACAGCTTCTGGTGTTGAAGATGAAGTGGGTAATGTCTGTTCCTCTGAACTGGCTTGAAATGTCATGTTCAGCAACTTCTTTTGCCATTAAAGCTGCAATTCTGTGAGCTAAAAATATCTTTCATACTTGTTAGGTCTTTTCAAACAAAAAAAATAAATAAATAAAAAAGGCAGAATCAGAATGTTCTACAATGCTTGTGCAAACAGAATGGACCAGGCCTCCCGCAGCTTGTCTGTCCTCAGTGTATAAATAATATCTCCCATATTTTCATTCATCTTCATTTGATTTTTTTAAAGGACTACTGTGAAAGAAGAACTCACAACTTTTGTAAAGGAGTACTTAGAATACATGTAGTATGTTTCTAGTTATATTGTTCACTAACTAAGTATTTTCTGCATCCAAATTCACAATAGGAAATGGGGGGCGGGGGGAAAGAGGTCAACAGAAAGTCTGCTGATTATATCTTCCAAAAAAATTCATGGAATACCTTCAGAGTAGATGGCATAAAATTTTGTTATCTGGTGCTGCTTTTGTAGCATCCTATAAAATCTTTTCTGCAATTTCCCTAGATTCTAATGGTTTCTATAGAGTTAAAGATGGTACTTTTGCTAAAGGGTCCTTCCTGTTAGTAATCAATAATTTCTATCCTTATCAGAACACCTAAGCTCTCTGTTCACATACTCTTGTTGCTTTTTATGTCTGTGTACACTGAGGCTTCGGAAGCACTTTCTTGCAAAAGGTCAGATGAACCAGAGTGAATAATTTTGGCCACCAATGTGTCTGTGGCAGGAGAAAGAACCTGATCTTCAGAAGCTCCTGTGCACACATTCTTCCTGTGCAAAGTAGAAATATTGTCAGCCTGGTACAGAGGTGCCACTACTGTTTCAGCCTCTGGAAGATTTTATTTCCAAAATTCTCTGCCTAAAAACCACTGGCCTGCTCCTTGATGGAAATATGCCAGGTGACTGTTGAGAAAAAACAGTGGAGTTGTTTTCCTATCACTCCCTCTCTTCACACATCCTGGAGGCCTGCTGGGTGTTCTCAGTCTGTCTGTGAAGACAGACTTTTTGGCGTTGGCCTCCTCCTCTCAGCTGTTTTTTCTCTTTTTACTGTATTATAGCTGGGTATACAACATTTATTATGTTGGCCACAAACCATGATATATGTAACTTCTTTGGTCTTGTTTTTCTGTAGCAGAAGCATAGGAGAAAGTACAATAAATGTGTTTATTAATTTGTTCACTCTCCCTTCTTTACATGGTCTACTGGGTACAATTCAACATCTGTCTGCCGAGTGCAATTTGAACATTTAGGGTGGACAATAACAGTCACCCATGAAAAGAAGTGACATGTAGAACAAGAACATCTTGGATAGGGTAGGATACAAATCTAATAAAATAAATATAAGAGATAAACAGCCAATTCAGGAAAGGTCATTGAATGACAACCTAAGATATGCTTTGCTTCCCCTCAATTTGTTTTTGAAGGTCCAACATAGAGCTTGGCCTCCTTTAGCTCTTGGGCTAGGGACAGACATTATACATAAACTGGTTTAAGTGATCAGAAACTGGTTTAAACCTGTAACAGAACAGATGTTCAGTGTGCATAAACCAGTTTGTAAATGGCCAAAACTGGTTTAAGATAAGTCTGATACTACATTTAACCAGGTTTAACTAATTTGGCTCAAACCATTTTATGCCGTGTCTGTCCCAGACCCCTTGCTGGTTTAAGATAAACCAGACACCCCCGGCATGCTCTCTGGGCTGGGCGGCAGTCCCTGCTTCACAGCAGGGCTGGCCCCTCACCTCTGCTCCCTGGACAGAGCTCCTCCAGTACAGACTTGCAGACACAGCAGGGTCTACTGGCTTCCGTGTGTCCCCCTCCCCTTTCCCTCTTACCACGTGCTGCTTAAGCAGAGATCCCTTTCTCCCCTCTCCCACAGCACAGACCATAACCAGCATGTGGTATGCTAGCTAGTGCTGTATAAGGCTCCAGCAGAGACTGCAGACACAGCAGGGTCTGCTGGCTTCTCCCTGCCCTACCCCCTCCCTTGCTGCTCAAGCAGGAAATCCCCTCCTCCCTCCCTCCTCCCACAGCACGGACCCCAGCCCCATGGATCCTAGGCATGTGGTGCACTAGCTAATGCTGAGAGGTGTCTGTGTGTGTGTTTCTCCAATTTCATTGAGCCAGACGGGCAGACAGAACAGGGCTTTTGGAGCTAATCAACATGTCACCCCAGTGTGCATTTAAGAAGAATTTGAAGTACTAGAAGAGAGGCTATTGTTTTGCTAATTGGATGATAAAGACTCTTATCAGCTCCAGGCTACCTTGCTCCCCTGTCAGCTTGCTGCAGATAGTTTGACAAGCAGGGAGGGAGATTGAAAAGCTCCATGTCATCAACAGATGCATGCATGCATAAAATACACACACACACTTGTCATCCCCCAGACCCTTGGTAGCACTCTAAGGCAACTGGCCCACCCCTTGAGCAGCCAGCAGGGAAAATACTGGGATGGTGCAGGCAGACTTCCCTAATGAGAAAGTCTTGCCAGGGCCTGGCCACACCTTCTCAGCTCAACTCTGTGCAAGGGAAGGGAGGGCTGTTCTAGTACCCCTGGCTTCTAGCCTGAGCCACTGCAGGCATGTGCCTGAATTTCCTCAGTCCAGAGGGATTGTCTGTATGGTTGAAAACCAATTCAACCTGGCTACGTTACACTAACCTAAAGGTTGAATCAATTTAGGCTCATACTCTTCGAATGTCTATCCCTAGCCCTGAAGACTATGGAAGAAAATTGGACCACTTGAAGCCCAAGGACGTTTGGTCACAGACTTCAGCAGGGCCAGGATTCCCCCACATGAGCCTAGAGGTGATCCTAATTTTGCTGATTTACAAGTGTCAGGGCAGCTAGGAGTTGGATACACCTCTGGACACACCCTGTGGAATGGACTTCGTGTTCAGAGAATCTGCCACGTGCCAAGTGGGAGATTACTGAAAATTTCACTTCCAAATTCCACATCAGAACAGATGCCGAAGTCTGACACTTGGATGGTCTCTAACCTCCCTCCCCTCCCCTCCAAGAAAGCACTTGTCAACTAGCTCACTTCTCCATAAGGAAGAGAATCAATTCACTTGCAGACATTTTCCTCCATCTCATACTGCATCTCAATGGTTCTGTGTTCTCCTTTAGCAGTGCTGCTCCATGCTCTTCCACATTATGAGGCATCTAAACACTCTACATGCTGAGAAGCTTTTATGTTTTTCAGGGACTGCATGGGCTTTGCTAATTAATGCCCCCAGCCCCTAGTGCAGGAAGTCAACAGTTTTGCCCCCGTTTTACGATAGCAAAACAGACTCAAAGCTGCTATCTAATGACCTGTGGCCAGTGCACTGTAGTGCCTTCTAGGTAAGTTGCTCCATTGTTTCCCTTGGTGTTAAGAAAAGAGTTCCCATCACAGAACCAATCACAATACAGTATGTCTTCCAGCATTATATCCTGCTCACTTGCTTCAGAAAAGAATGTGTAAGACTGTGTGCAACAATGCCATCTGGTGACTCCTGCAGAAAAGTCAGTCATGGCAGGGAGCACTTGATTATCACCTTTCAGTTCTGGCATCTCCCCATGGCAGGGCTTCTTACCTGACAGGATGATCTTTTCTTTTTTGTGCCTTTATTAGCAATTGGATTAGAAGTCATCTATGATGCTGAAGGGATCTTTTCATCCTCTGAAGGCCAATAAGAAGCATTAGCTCCTGGAGGAAAAGATAATAAAAATGTCTAAATGCAAAGCTCTGTTAGGCTGAAAGAGATTGTTCACCAAGGTACCCCAGGTGAAAACTAGGAATAATGGTCATAAATTGATAGAGTATCGCTTCAGATTAGACATTAGGAAAAGCTTTTTTTTTTTTTTTACAGTTCGTGTGTCCAGAGTCTGAAATAGACTCCCCACAGAGGTGATATAATCACCTTCCCTGGAGATCTTCAAAAGACAAACACCTCGCTGAGGTCACCTGACCTCAGCAGTCTTTCCTGCCTAGAGCAGGGGGGCTGGACCTGATGATTTCCGAGGTCCCTTCCAGCCCCTAATTTCTGTCAACCTATAAATCCATTTACATCTTTGGATGCTTTTAAGTGCAGGTTAGAGCCACACTTGATCATGGTTTACTCAGGGATAATCCTGCCTTGAGGAGGAGGAGGTGGTATCTGGTCCAATTAATGTCTCTTCCAGCCCTACTAGTCTATCATTCTACAAGTGCAGTGTAACATCAATTTAATAGTCATTCAAAATGTATATTGAACCCTAATAGCTTAAGAGGAACCTAAAAAAGCAACACACTTCCTGGCAGTCATATGGAGCTTTGGTTCCATGATGGCTCCAGAAGGAAGGCCATTCCTGCATGGGAGAGTTTAATAGATTTAACTTAAGCTGTGGTTTTAAAACAGTGTGAGACCCTGTATGAATGCTGTTGTTTTGGTTAAATAAAGGCTTATTTTGAAGTAGCTTTAATAAATTTCTGCTTCAGCTACCCTAGGTTAGAACAAACCACTTTTAAAGTAATGTACAATTCATGTGGCCTTGTGCTCCTTTAACTAAGCTAACTTCAGAACCAAATTGCATTCTGCAGTTCTTTCAGATGGATACAGTCTCATTAAGTGGTGCAAAGTAAGGAATACAAATAATATTTTCAAATTTTGACCAGGGTTTTAGTACAAGGACATGTCATCTTTCTTCAAGTCAATCTTGTGTGAATTCAGAAGAGCCAATGCAAAGGAGCAACTAACACCTGTATGAATTCACAGGCGAGGGAGAAGGAGATGCATTCTGAGAGGTATGAACATAGCACATTCCCTTACCAACCACATGCATGCTTCCCCGCCCCCCAAAAAAGAAAAAAAAAAAAAATCACCCCTTCAAAACTGGGGTGTGTGTCTTAGCATAGTTAGTGATTTTTCTTTGCTGGAATAAAACCACTCAGAGACTGTGCTCTAATGCGGCCAAGGTGGCTGCTGTTGGTTCCCGTGAAGGGTCAGCAAGCAGAAGGGGTTGAGAGTCCTTTGTTAAATCCTTCACAGCTGTAGCTCTGGGGTGAACTCTGTAGCTAAAGGAGCAACTGAGCTACTGCTGTTACTGAGTGCAGTCTGTAGTATCTGGATGAAGCTCACAATGTGAAAACAACTCTTCATTCTTTACAGGAACTTACTTATATAGAACTATTTACAGTGAAGAAATAACAGTCCTGCTACTTGCAAGGATCTAGGACCTAGCCTTGCTGCACCAGAAAGTTCTTGTTGCTTCACCCAGGCAGTCTCCTTGGATATCACACTTTTAAGGCGCATTGTTTTCAGGAGAACTTACCCTAGGGTCACTCAGTTGGCCACAACTCCAAACCAGTCTTGTTTTCTTTCCATTCTGCCTTCCACAAAACAAGGAAGGCAGAAGTCTTATTTGGGGTGGGGGGACATGGGGTGGTACATGAGAAAATACAGCAGGGTACCTTGCTCCAGATTGTGGAGGCAGCAAGGGGAGAAGCTTTACTCTTGTAAAATGAACAAAATCTGGGAATGGAGGGAGTAAAACCTTGGGGAAGTGAAGGCACACATGGATAGAAGAGTGGTTGAAGTGTTGTGCTGTGCTGGATGAGGAGGTGACATGGTAGAAGTGTTAGTATCCCTGTGTGTGTCATGTTTTCATCCTTCAGACACACAAGGTAGTTTCAGATACCACTTCCAGATACAAAAAAAAAAAGAGAGAGACATTTTATATCTGTGCGGGCCGGCTCCCGGTCCCGTCCTCGCCGGGCACGAGCCGGGCCCATCTGTGTGCACACGGGCTGTGGCCGGCAGCCTGGGCACGCGGGGCCGGAGAAAAGTCGCGGGGTGGGGTAGTACGCTCGAGCTAGAATCAGTCACGGAGGCGTAATGGTTGATTGAAAAGATTATTTACTTACACTGGAGATGGTCGCAGTGCAGGCTGGACAGTTTCCAGGTACAGCTCCGCTTCAATCCTCGTTGGAGGACTCTAAAACTCGGTTCCCAGGATCCTCGGAGTGGTTCAGACTCCGTGGTTTCGATAACTGGGTTCTAGGGTAGGGATTCGTCTGGACTGCGATCGGTGACGGGGAGAGGCTAGAGGCTGTCGGTAAGTGGTGCCCCGGAGTTTGCTAGGCTCCGGGGGTTCGGCAATTGGAGCCTCTATCGTCGTCTTAAGAAAGACGCGCTGGGTTCGAAAGGACCCACAGGGGCTAGAAGATCTATTAGGTCCCTTCCGACCCTAAAACTATGAAACTATGAAACTATCACTAAATGCAAGAGAAATGCACAATGCAAAGAAGGCTACAAAACGGCGGGAAACACTTTTCTGCACACGGGTTCTCTATAACAACAGAACACTCTGTCGTGCAAAAGAGCTGCAATTCGGCGGGAACATAATTTGTGTGTGCTTTGGCACCGCTAATCAAAAAATCCACAACTTTGGGTTGTGACAATATCTACTTTATTTTTTGATCCCTTGTTCTTCAGACAACGGGTTCACTCTGTCCTTTTACTAAACTTCCAAGTTCTCTGCTTCAATAAGCTCCCTCCTGCAGTTCTCTCAGGTAAAACATCATATTTTCCTCCAGCTCAACTTGTTTCTACAACGTTTTTAAAAGATTGTTTTATAGGCTCACAATCTAGGGTTGCTTTTTTATTTGGGCTGCACACACAGAAAGACACTCAGGTGAAAAAAAAAATCAAAGTAAACCAGTAAAATTAGACTGGACTTCGCAATATTCAGTGCCTTCTATGAATCAGACTAGTCATGGTGTATAAGGTTAAGCATTTGCAAAAGGCTTTGCAGAATTGGAAGCAAATTGGGTCTTAGTAAATAGTGGGGGGTTTTTAACATGTATTTTAACACCACCTGCATCATACATTTTGTAAGAACCTTTCCCTAACCTTGTCTTTTCATACTCTTCTCTTTAATTCAGCCCGAACAAGAAATTCAGGTATTTCTAAGGGAAGCATGTCACATTCACAAAGCTGAAAATTCAGAAGTCTGGTTGAATTAGAAGCAGAATTTTGTGCTAGGTGGCACTACTAAGAACCCCTCTCTGTCAACCACCAGCTTCTTTCTTCCGTGGCATGTAGGTTTTAAAATAGTCATTGCCTGTACCTTCTTAGCTTTCTCCTCCCTGCATTTTTTTTGTAGCTTTTCAAATCCAGTTCCTTGTGTAGTTACTTCTGATGAAAACTGGAGAAGATGCATCTTTTTTCTTCAATGCCTAGGGATCATGTGTCATGTTTTAACCAAAGGGAAATAATTGTGTATTTTACTATGCAAGGCAGGTATGACAATTTTTCTGTTGCTTTTTTCCTATCTGATACCACTCCCCTTTACACACACTGAGCCAAATTCCTCTCTACACAGAACCCACATTGTCATTTTCCCCAACTTACATCATCCCACTCAGTCTTACTAATGAGCGAGAAGACTGCTGCCAGTGGGCTGTGATGAGAGCAGCACAACAGTATGCTCCAGAACGTCTCTTTTTGCTCCCAGCAACCTACTCAGAATCACTGACTTTGCAAAGCATCATGTTCTGGCACCTGTGCCATGTATCCCTGTCAGCTCCACTCTTTCTAAGCTATGGATTTGGGGTGGTTCAGTTTCTCAGCCAAGCCATGGCCCAACATTCTTGCAGACACAATTTTGCATCTCAAAATTATCCTCTTGTATCCAGCTGGTTCCTGCAAAGAGTCACTGGCACAAGTCTAGGCAGCCGATTACCTGACACGAAGAACAGAAAATTCTGCAATAGTCCTCAAAGTTGGGTGTAAACTAGTTGCAGGTCGGGGGGGGGGGGGGGGGGGGGCCCCCACCAGACTCTGCTATAACAGCCAGCGCCCATAAAGTGCTCTGCCCCCTGATTGGATGAGATAGGCCCAGCCAAATAAAAGCCACAACCTTCCTTGCAGTAGGGTTGGAGTACTGCTGTAGTCATGGTGGTCCAGACAATATGCAAGAATCAAGAGATCTTAGTGACATCTTCAATTACCTTTTTTTTTTTTTTATGTCTTGTTTTTTCTCCCAGTCAGTCTGTCTTTTGGCCAGTTAAAAGAAGTTTCTGAGCACCAAGTGCCTTCTGCAGTGCCCTTGTCTAGCAACTCCCAAATTTTACACTTGGTCCAATAAAAAAAAAAAAGTCACCCCCGAAAGTCCCCCTTGCTTCTCACTTACACTGCCTTTGTCAGCCACAGAGACACAGGGACCCTAGCCCCATTCTTGACTTCCTTAAACTCCTCTTCCTCCTGCCCCACCTTTCACATTCCTAACCACCCACCTAAGCCCTCCCTGGAATGAGCCCAAGGAGAATGCCAGTCCTTTTCTGCTTCCCTCCAAGCTCCCTTCAGACACAGCTCAGCAGAAACAGGGAAATGGCAGAAGGAGTGGGGGGAAGAATCAGAAGAGAGAGGAAAGGCCTCTGTGGAAGTCAGAGTGATGGTGGGGGGCACTCTTGTTGGGTCAGCAACATTCTGCAACCCGGTGTCCAAGACTTGAAGCAGCTTCTCTGTTTTTAGTGCAGCAGCACCCAAATCAGTGACAGACAGAAAGAGCTGCAGGGAGATGTGGGGATGAGAGCCCTCTGCCATTCCCCACCAAAAGCAGTACAACTAGGTATTGCACTTTCCCTGATCTTCCTCTTGCAAGTCCCTTACTGAATGGGGGAGGCAAGCTAGTGACAGATGATGCAGAAAAAAGGCTGAAGTACTC